AGAAAAACACAGCTCTTACTATATTTCTTGCCGGTTCTTCTCAGTACAAGGTCTCCCGCCGTAGATTTACGAACCGATGGCCTAGCTTGTAGAAGCTAGACCAATTCTAGAAAAATATTTCTATATATATAAATAGAATATATGTATATATATAAATTCTAGAATGTCAAGACATTCATGAGTGCTGTAATGTAACAGTCTAAACTGAATAAATGATTTTGATTAGTAATATTTGGTATCATAACTTTTTTAAGTTGAAGAGTTGTTTCGAGACTTGTTGTTTTTACAAGTCATGTTTTTGATGGCATCTATATATATATATATCAACCAGTTTAAAAAGACCCAGAAAATGCCTTGTTCAACTAATTGATAACGGAATCTTTAAAACCGGGCAGCCTCCTTGCGTATATAATTATAACTACAATACAACAATAACATAATAAAAGTACTAATTGAAACTTTGAAAAATAAAATTTAAAAAGAAAACCATAATGAAATGCTGTAGCTATTTCTTTCCTATCCCGTGGAGTCCAGAACCCTGACTCACTGACAGAAACACATCACCACCAAATGGTAGTGTTAAAAGGTATGGGGTTGTGTAGTCTTGCTGCTTAAAACAGAGGTAGGTACCAAAAGAAATTCAACATAATATATAAAATAAAGCGTATTCTTCTCAGTCCAGCAAGGAAGAAACCTTTTCCTAGCTGCAAGATCCTCTTCTCTTTCTCTTCCCGGCTCCTGCCAAAAGACTGTCAAATACATCATTTTAAAACTCAATATTATATTTTACTTTAAGCTGAAAGTACTTAACATCCCAATCGCGTTAATGCCAAACATGTTGAATGGAAAAACCTCATAAAAACTGCACTGATGTGTTTGTATAAAACAAAAATATCCGTTATTTTATCTTCACGCTCCGCGATCAGTGTCATTGTTTCAAATATAATATGAATGGATGGAGTGATAGTATTCCACTGGCTGAACGGACACTAGCTTAATTATTTCGACCTTGTTCCCAACTAAACCTGTGACTCGTCGCATTATGAGATACAAACCTACTCAATACTCTGTCATATAGTCGTAAAAGCTTAAAGCCGATTCACACCGGAAAGCCAGCGGCGCGACGTGGCGAATACTTTCGCACTTAAAGCAAAGAATAATATTTTTAACATTATATTTGAAAGACCAATACCTGTAGCATGAGCACTACATTATACATTTTATCACGTTTTTTATCGTGTCTAACTGTCAAACTCCATAGTAATTTGACAATTGAGCGTGATAAAATCGTGCTACATATAATATCGCAGTGCTCATGCTAGGGGGCAGTATCGTTTGTAAAGCTCGAAGATGTTGCACGAAGCCGCTGCCTAGCCACACCACGGGACCTTTTCAAGCGATACTGATCCTTTAAGTAAGATGTAAATGAAGTATAAAATTATTTCACACTGCTTTCAATGTGACAGTGCTCGCCGCTACCATTCCGTATGAATCGGCCTTTATGAAGCCGTCATCTTGAGCTGGAATAGGAGTGATATCATGTTAATACCCGTCCTTCAGGCCATTCAGTTACATTTGACCGAGATCACTAAAGCTATGTTAATAGACAATATCCTCAAATGAATAAGGAAACCCTTGGTCAATATAGACTAATGACCTTCTATATAGATTTCAAACAATGAATTAAATAGGAGGTAAATGATTCAGTGGCTTTCAATAGTGGTTCGAGTACCTATTCCGAATAATATATTGTTTTAGTCATCATGTACTTTTCTATTTAAGAAATATAATTATCTTTTTATTGACCAGCCAATTGCGAGTCAGACTAACATTCAAGAAGTTCCGAACCATCATAACATGAGGTTAGCAATATTTGCAAAACAACGAAAAATCTAAGTTAAAACCGGCAACCCTTGGTGTTGCAAGTGTCAAAGGGCGGCAGTGACCATTTACCATCAGGTGGACTGTCTAGCCGTTTTCCTGCATAAACATAAAAATGAGAAAAATCTGGTAAAATCAGCTTCGTCAGCGTCAGCTCGTTTTATTGAAAAATATAACTTTTTACTTTATTTTGTTTTAATTATTATATTTTGTCATAACATATTCTTTAAGCATCATAATTCTTTGAACAGAAAACGCACTTCAGAGTTTGGTTGCGAAATAGTACTTTTATTACCATCATATGGAAGAGCGTAAAGTTTTATGAGGGTTATAAAAAGTTGATGTGTTCTTCATTATTATCGACAGCAATGCTTCGGAATTTGTAAATTATTAATGGACTTTAACGTATAAACTTTTTAAGATTAACTTCACAGATGTATGCTCTTTATAAAGCTTTAAATAAGTTCGCGACTCTACGTTCAATAGTTAACATTATAATACAGGTACAAGTTGTAATGAGACAAGTAATGGCTGACAAAAAAGGCATGCAAAAAGGTAAATATCACAAACAAATTCACTCATTAACACCATATAATGTGGGCTCCATTCATTTTACATTTTGTAAAATTTTACACACAAATACACAAGCAAAAATCTAAATAATTTTCTATACTCTTCACTAATTTTTAATACACACACGTACTTAAAAAACCCAGTCCTCTCAGGTTCAAGTGGTCTAGAGGCTTCAGACGGAGAGGAGACTTCTCCTGAGGGGAGATGCCATCCGCCTGGAATACCTCTAGAGGCACTCGCCATTTCTCGGGTTGAGGCCCCCTTAGGATCTTGTCGTTCCCAAACCCGGTGACGATGTTAAGGTCATCTGCGACCAACAGCATACACACTCAAAAAAAACCCAGAACATTTTTATTATACTATAGGCCTCCCCCGAAAGGTGCGCTATTAACGGTCTATCTATAATAGGATGTATTATTGCGATATTTGTTTTTTTGGACATTATGTATGAGAACGGCTACTACGTTACATACTGCTGCAATAATAACTACGCAATAGGAGTATACTGAAATATCGCAATAACGCATCCGATATTATCGACTAACGTGCCAATCGAATAGAGGCTAAGATCATGTTTCAATTCACATACTTTTTAGAATCTGAAAAATTTAATGGGAATTTAATTTGACGCGAAAGAACTCATCCACCTTCTGCTATAGCTATATCGAGACAAAGCTTTCCATCTATTTAACAACATTAATTACTAAGACGACACATTATGCGTAGGCTGCCATTATTAGCGTTTACTCATGGTTTTGTAATATTTTTTTGTTATCTCGTTACATCAGCTCATCAGTCTTACTAGCTTCCTTTATTGATCACACTGAAACGTCAGTCTTCCGGAATTTTCGGCCACTCCGTCAATTTGATCAGATTAAGGTCTCAGCGGGGTTTCTTATAGGACTACGTCCGATGTAAGTATGGGGTATATAGTTGTTCCCTAAATTGGCTTAATGCGATGACCGGTAGCTTTAGAGGCTATGACCAATTTTCTTGTTGCTTTGTCCCTTCTCTGTGAAGCCTTAATGTCTTATGTCTGGTCCGCTTCTTGGTCTTGTTTTTGGACTGATGCTAGCTTCAAAGCTTTCGGAGAAAACTATAAAATCTTAGAGATCATGAAATCAAATTAAATTTCAACCGAAACGTCTCATTAAAATATTGTTTTTAGTAAGCACAATATCGTTTAATTTTCCTTTCGTATAGGTACGTATTAGATTATATTATGTGAATGGTTCTTAAAAATAATTAACTTTTACATTTTATATCTAATCTCTAAATTTCCTCACATTAGGTTTCCAATCAGCTAAAAATTATTTATAGTTATTAACGAAATATTTTGTGAGTCTCCAATACTTTAATCTAAGTTTAGCACTGCAATAAGCGCCATAGTCAGGAAAACTCGCAAAGAAACAAGGTACATTGTATCAATCCCGCTAATAACTATAATATTAGTGAACATGAAAGTTTAAATATTTTGTATAATTTCGAATATCCTTGCAGCCTTAATTGCAATGAAAATTTTAAGTATACTCTACTTGTTAGTTATATTAGCATAGCAAATGCTTTAAAGTTAAATAAAACAGTTTGAACTCATAAACAGTTGACTCGGTAAAACGATTTCGAGCACATTAATATAAAGTTCAGTAATTCCTAAAAGGAAATTCGCCTTCTGATATAGTTTATGAGCATAACTTTGCATACTAAGTTAAAGTAACAAATGAAGTGTGAAGAAATTCTACCTATATCATCATAACGTTCTACTTTCGAACGATTTCAACGCATGAATGATTTTCACCAAACTTAAATTACCCTCTAAGGGAAACACGACCAATCTTCTTCCACCTGGCATTTGGATTAAGATTTGATGTTCCGATCCCGAAGTTAACGGCCTATTTTTCCACAATTTTAGATTAAGAAAGTTAGATTTAAATACAATCCGTTTGGTTGGGAGTAAGTAATTTTTATTTGAGCTATGGAAATCAATGTTTCTCAGTAATCCAGTTGTGTGTCAATGTTTAAAAAGGGTTAAAGCTTAAATAACTACTGACGGCCACCCGCGTCCTCGTCAGCATTAACATTATTTTTTGAAAATCTCTCAGTAAACTAACATTTTTCCGGTATAAAAATAATGATACTATACTTATCCCATCCCCCCTAGCATGAGCACCGCGATATGATATATAACGCGTTTTTATCATACTCAATTGTCAAATTACTATGGAGTTTGACAGTGAGACGCGATAAAAACGTGATATAATGTAAATTGTGATGGTCATTCTACGGGGACTGGTAACTATAATTTAAGTGCCATATTTCATTCGAATCCGTTCATCCGATTTTCTGTGGTTGAGTAACATTTTTTACTTAATCATATAAATTTACAAACTTTGACATTTATAATTCTCAAGTCATCAAATAGTTGTTCCTCCGATCTATACTTCTATACTTCTCCAGTGATCAGCTGTGTACAGCTAGATCGGCTAATATTATTAATATCATCAATATTAGCATAATTTATTTATAGGACCGTGTTCTACTGGTTGCAGAAAACGATGGCTGCTTTATGGAGTCCAAGAATCACGCGATACACTGGCAGAAGGGCACGCCTTTCTACGCAGAATGTGTTTGCGGGATGCCCGGATACAACGCGAAGCACATAAAGTGGCTGGACAGCCACAATCAGGAAATCGATGTACTACGGTGAGTGTCACATTATGATTTTTAGAACAGTACATTTTCTACTTAAGAACTGAAAGTGGTTATTTGGAGAGGTTAAGTGTGGCAGTGAAATCGTATCGCGGAAATTTCCGCTGTGCGTCCATTTTTATGTAGTTAGCCCGTCCATTTTGATGATATACTCGACTTTTGAAATGTTAAAAATTGTAAGGACCTTAGAAGCTTAATAAAAATAAACTGTTTCTAAACTCTATTCCCTTTGTTCATAAACGAAGAATAAAGGTGTATTAGTTTCTCCATGTTTTGTCTCTGTTCATTGAATTACAAATGGCATTTGCGTAATATGAACAAACTACGGCGTAAATAAAACTAGTTTTTCACGGGTTAATGCACGAAACTTTATTTATTTATTGACGTTTCGCAGCCTTTACTACGTACTACGTACTTAACTACGGCGTAACTAGCCTAAGCTTATTCCTCGTTAATTAATATCTGATATGATTATTTATTTTACTTACGCTACTTTCATAGTGACATTTTGTTATGGGGCTCAGCTGTTAATATCGAAAGTATTTTCTTATTACAAAATGGAGCTGTTCGCGCCAAATACAATTTGAGGGCAAGATATGTGTGTTTCCACTCTTTTGGTGTATTACTCTGCGCGGTGTTTGGCCAACAGCTGTTGACCAAACACCGCGCTTTTCACCTAGCTTTTCACTAAAGGCGGTGTGGTATAAATAAAAAAAAATAACATTACCTTTCCGATTAATGTCTGATGAATGAATGGTTAAATTTAAATTTTTTGATTGAGTAGACGTACCTGCGGGTTTTGATGGCGAACGGCAGTGTCCGGGAAAACCAATACTGGTTTATGAAATACTGTTATACACTGAAGATTATAATGTATTTCTTATAATATAATAAATAAATAAAAAGAATATATACTCTTAAAGCAAAAAAATAAAGAAGCAGAAACTATAAATATCTAACAGATGCATCGAACATCTTTGAAGCCATTTTTCAACTTGACGACTCAGGAAGAAAAAACACAGCCCTTATTGAGTTTCTTCTCAGTACAAGGTCTGCCACCGAAGATTTGCTTAACGATGGCGTAGCTTCTCAACTTTCCCAAGAGCTTATCAGCCTAGACTGAATAAATGATTTTTGAATTAAATTCACTTTGAATCGAAGTTTTTAAGAAAATTCATTTCACATATAAATTCAATGTTAATTTATTTATCCCAAATTCTGTTATACACTGTGAATTTTGAGTTACCTGAGAAACTTTACTAGCTAATGCAGACAACGATTTAGGTTATATTTCTGCAATATTCTTTGTAGTATGTTTTTTGGCAAATGTGTCCACCTGAACTTTTAAAGTGTAGTGTAATTATGAAACCAAAACAACTTTAATCATAAAAAAAAATTTTTTTGATAAATTTTTAAAGATTATGATTTTAAACGGTCAATAATTCCATAATAGGTATGTTATTAACAAATTTGCACCGTTTTAGAGTCCGTGCGGAAAGAGAATGGGCGTGAGGAAAAATGGAACTAACATCAAGATTTTTATTTGGTAATCAAACCCAGCAATCTGTAAAACGTCTAAGTTTTGTATTGATACGGATTTGTTTGTTATTGCGATTTCTTGCGGTTTTTTGTATTTAATCATGTCTGAAAGGGGCAAAACCTTACAAATACTGTAGAAAAGCACTACAGCGTCCTCCAATCTAAATCCCATTCTCTTTCCGTACAGACTCTAGGATATTTTGATAAGCATATAAATCAATATTTTTGTATAGAGTTGTGTATTACAACCCTATACAAATCATTTTACTATTTATAACTGATCGCCCTATTTTTATTTACCTGGTTTTTAAGTTGCTCAAAATTCACTGTGTATAATTGTGTGCGTGACACTTGTTTTAATTAAACAATGCTTCTATAAGCCTAGGTACAGATCAGAAGGCTTACACGGAGCGGGATAATGACCAAGTGAAATTATACATACCAAATGTGACAAACGCCGTTTCCGGCCTATACAGATGTGTGACAAACTTTGAGGGACAAGATTATTCGCATAACTACTATATTGAAGCATATGGTACGTACTCTGTTTATGAATATTTTTCCTATTGTTATTTATTATTGAGCTCACGAGAGTAGATAGTAATATATAATAGTGTCAAATTTTATTCTCTAGACGTTGCCTTGGGTATACTACCGATTTAAAAAAAAACATTGTCTGCAACTAATTTAAACTCATTAAAAGACTTTTTGGCGGGATCGGGAAGCGTCACATTAGCAGTTTTGTTTTTCTTGTTAAAAATGTGTTGTGGCTGATGTTAGTGTCTAATAATGATGGATTATTAACCACTAAGTGCTCGGGAACATGTACAAGTGAAACAAAATAGCGGAAAGTGTCTTTCGACGTTCCCTCAAGAAGTCCACGGGGAGTTTCCAGTAAATCCCCACACTTTTACTGAAACGTAGGGAAAGGGGGATTGACTTGACTGCCACTTACTTTGACTTGATTTATTACTTTGACGACTTTGGCTATAGTATTTGTAAACATTTTAACACTTGACATTGGCTAAATGCACAAGCCGTGCAAAGCCATTTAGAAAAAAAACATCACTCATGCTTTATTGCTTTCATAATTATGTGTAATCAAAGATTGTTCATTGCACTGTAGTATTATATGCACCATTAATGGTGCACTTTAAACTAAATAGAAATAAATAAAAAATTTTTTTTTTAGAACCAGTCACGATTAATCCTCCTGAAGAACAGTTCGTATTACTCGGGAATAGATCATTAGTGAAATGCAAAGTACACGCGGAAGATATGTCCAAAATTTTAGTAAGCTGGACCAAAATAGAAGAGGATGAAACACGAACAGAAGTATGTACAATCTTTGCTCTTTGTCAAATACCGTTATAATGAGGTCAATGATTCTACAGATGTTGATGCAAATGAAGTTTTTATTCAAGTTGTGTGCTCTACCTTCTTTAACTTCAAAAAGTTCAAAAAGGTAAAAAATTAATACCCGTTTTACATGAAATCGGCCGGGTCCTAGTATGATTTGGAAGTCGGACGGGATCAAGATTAAAACCAGTGTAGCAAATAGAAATGAAAATCTCTTCTTTGTTTCAATCTTGACCCGTTTGTTGTTTAAACATTTTTTTGCTAGCCTAACATACAATCCGACTGAGTAATATCTCAATCGGGTAATAATTAATAAATTATATTCAATTTTAGTAATCTTCTAGTTCAAAATAAGGCCTATTTTATGGTTTCAAATATTATTATTCCATTTATTAATAACAATGACTACAAATTTTACTTCTTTTACAAAAGCATGGAACAGTTTAAATCCGAATTAATTTAAGTTCAAGGGAAATAAATTTTATGAATACCTACTTTTTCAACTGTCCATAAGAGAATTGAATTGATAATCCTAAAAATAAACTTCTATTTTAGCTAACGAACAGTGCTAAGTATGACATCACTGACGACGGCCTATATATAAATGACGTAACAAACGAAGACAAAGGCAAGTATACTTGCTCTGCTTATGACAAAAAAAACCTGGATGAAGTGGACAAGGATATTAACGTTAAGGTCAGTTCTGTTAGATTAACATTTAATAAAGAAAATCTTATGCCAAACCACACCTCATTATCAGTAGTTACTTCAGCAACAAGTGAAGAAGTACAGTACTAACTGTCTCATAGACTACACTTATATTTGACTTTGGGAAATAAGGTTATGGAAGTAAGGTGTTAATATCATCATAACCAGAAAATTCTACATATTCTACAAGCACCCATATATTTGAATTGAATAGTGTTATAGGTTTTTGTACACCAAATGTATGACCAAGTATGTACGATCATTGTCATGATTTTACCTTGTCATAAAGAATACATATAAGTAATAATTGTTTGAGCAGATAATAACAAAACCGAGGATAAAGGAAGTGAGAGTAACATCTGAACCTGAACCTCCGTTAGTTGCCGGTATAAGTAGGCTAGTCATGAAATGTATCGCAGAGGGCATTCCACAGCTTGAATACATATGGAGGAGAACTGACACGGTAAGTAATTCAAATAGACAAGAATTCAAACAGCCACTATGTAAAATTACGAAGTCATAAATTATTGAAAAAATAAATAAAGGAGGTTATTTTAAACAAATGATCGTTAAAATAATATTACTGTAAATCTATTTTTGACTGATAACTTTAAGTGTAGAATTCTATAATTTCCTTTATTGAGATAAGAAAGTATATTTTCTCATCCTTAGGGCGATGTGGATAATCCGAGATGGAAGAAAGAAGCCAATGCTATCATGATTGAACCCGTGTTAGCAGAAGACCAAGGCCAGTACGAGTGTGTGGCACAGAGTATGGCCGGAGTAGCCACTAAATCTGTGGATATAGAGGTAAAAAAATTCATCAAAAGAATAAACAAATAAGTAATCTATAACAGTAAGGATAAGTCTCCAAAATATAAGTACGCACAGAATCACTTTTGAACGACTACACCAAATTGGATTTTTTTATAGTGTTCATAATTGGTAGTTTGTGTGAGATTTTTCTGGGAAACCCACTAGATATAGGAATAGAAAGTCGGATATAGGAATTAGGATTTTGTATTGAAATCACATCTCTTATTTATATATATGCACCCTTGCGAAGCTAGTAAGTTAATAAAATAAATAACATTATAGGCATTATTTTAATCCCTACATAGGTCGTCAAAGATGATTATTATGCAAATAAAAAAGAACTAAGCCAGATATTACCACCATTCTGAAGATTGTTGAATTTTTTCTTATCTCTCCAGACTATAAATGTTCTTTTTTCTAAATGATGGTTTAGGTGATTGTAGCTACGCCATTTTTTTAAACTTCCTTAACTATCCATTAATATGACTTCCGGGGGGTAGGCCATTTTATTATGTTTATGTCTGTTGTTTTTCTTACAGGTCTTCTTACCTCCTAATATTACGTCTTTTCCAAGTATCACAGAAAGTGAAGGTACTACTGTACAATTAGTTTGTAATGCTAATGGTCGACCAGCTCCGAATATTTCTATCATATTTTTCAAGACTGACGGTGATGATGATGTCCAGTAAGTATCACATGACATTATAAACAATAAAATAATGTTATTATAAAGGTTTGGCTCTCAATTCTTTCTAATATAATGGTAGCTATTGATAATCCAGTAATCCTTAATAATATGTAAAAGAAAAAATATATTCGCTAAAAATACGAAATTTTCATTTAGATATCCAGTGGTTATTATGAGTTAAAATGCAATGATCAGAGTAGATAATGCCAAATTATACCTATTAATAATAATTCCTAATATCAAACACTAAGATTTGTTTCACAAAACGTTTTAACTGAGGCGAAAGGTCTACTCATCCGTCAAATAAAGTATGTGATCATGGCTATGAATCAATTTAAATGCATGGCTAACTAGAGCCGAGGTTCGAGTCTCAGAGACGCCCTTAATTGAGCCGACCCCCTCAGGTTCGAGTGGTCTAGAGGCTCAGACGGAGGGGTCTCCCCTCCCGTCCGTGGGGAGATGCCATCCGCCTGGAATACCTATAGAAGCATTCGCCAATTATCCCCTTAGGTTCTCGCCGTCCCCAAACCCGGTGACGCTGTAAAGGACATCTGCGACCAACAGCATACACATTAAAAAAATAGTTTTTAGAATAAGGAGGTCGCACTTATCGTAAAGAATTAGTTTATAACCTTGCCCGATTATAATGTATTTTTTTTTCATTTTAGAGAGATTGCTGAAGACGAAATTATTGAAAATTTATCATTCATTAGGCTGGATAAATCTCGTGAAGGAATTTATATTTGCAACGCAAGTAATGAAGGTAAATATAATTCGCAATTTACATACAGTGATAGTTTTATATTTTGGTATTCATTACATCACACGAAAGACCCCCACTGCTGGACATAGACATAGGGAATACCCATAACGTACTTTACATCTGTCTAGCCTTACACAGTCTGAATTAGAATTTAATTGCATAATCTGAATTCCGGTGCTTTTAGACAAACAAGTCTTATCAATTCCGGTTGATCTATGGTTTATACATTATCTATTTATTATTCGTATATTTGCTAACTGTCACTAGATAGGCTGATAGATTTAAATTTGTAATGTTTCGCACCCCAACATGGGCTTGTGAGAAATGTCATGAAAGCATATTAACTCGTCATTTGGCTTATATAAGATTTTTTTTTTATATAAAATGTCTATTGTCTCTTTTTTTTACAGTAAATTATACAACGGAAGAGATGTACGTAACAGTTTTTTATAAGCCTCACTATGAATTAAAAGAAGAGACTATCTGGGGTTGGGACGGGCATTTCGCTAACTTGTCTTGTGAAGTTGACAGCAACCCGATAGCAACAATTAGATGGGGGTATGAAAATTTTTAATTAAAGTAATTCTTTGCGTAGGTCCTTTATTATTTACTTCATTATTTATTTATTCATACTTCATCAAAGGCGTAGGTGAATTGTCAAACATTTATTATCATAACATTGTTTCGCAAGATTAATCATTACCATTATGTAATCAAATAAACTTTATTTTACTCTGTAAGTCACTATTCTTCCAAATATTCCATTGTTACTTCATCTATCGTTTTGTTTGATGTACCATTAGCTATTTAAATTAAATTTCTTTCAAATCCTTATTAGCGGCAGAGCTTTAGAGACAAGCTAAAAAGTCCTGATTTATCTTTTCTAGTAAAAGACTGCCTACTTGTACGTATCTTTATCATCTTACATTATCTTTTTTCCTTACCAAGATTTACCGCAGATTATCCCCGGACGCATCCGCAGATCGATCCAGACGATTACATGACGAAAACTTTGTCCGTTACGCTGGCCAAATATTTGCCTGTAAACGTATCCGAAGAGGCTCACTCTCTTTACGGTTGGTACGAATGCAACGCTACCAATCATTTAGGACTGTCCACTAAGAAGATACACTTCCAGGAAGGACATGTACCACCACCAATTAAAAACGTAAGTATCATAAAGTAAGCCTTTTAAACGTTAGCTAATAAAAATATAAGTATGACTTATATAATGCTTAAAAAAAATATTCATCATCATCAGCCTATTAATGTTCTAACTGCAGGAATACAGCCCTTCCCTATGGATGGAATAGAGAGATTGGGCCGTGACCCACCACGCGGGCCTAGTCTTAATTGGTGAGAGCCGGGACCAATAGCTTGAAGTTCTCTCCAACGCACAGACGAGCTCGAGATAATATTTTTTGGTCACCCATCCAATAACCGACCATTGCGAAAATTGCTTTACTTTCGCGATCGCAGGCTAAATGCGCTAACCACCTACGCTATCGAGCACTTGCTAAAAATATTACAAATAGGGAAATAATCTTTTCCTCTCCTATTTTTTAGGCTACTGTAGTTACTGTTACTGCAACATCAGCCACCTTCTACATTGAAGAGCCTGGATACTTTCAAGGCCCGTCCGTTCACGGTTACATAGGGGAGTACGACATGCGAGAAACCTTCAACATCACCAATATCCATATGAATAGAAGTTGGTCCGTCGACCGTCCGTTTACAATAGACCGTTTGAAACCTAACACAAGCTATTTGGTCAGATTCGCTGCTGTCAACCAAGTGGGTTACAGCGAATGGTGTGAATACATGGAGTTTGAAACTCTTGAACCGTAAGTGTTTTTTAATATATTTTGGAAGGATGTAGAAGTCTTACCTAACTACATTAGATTGATCGATTCACTTGATGCTGGAACCCTAAGAAGAACTACCTACTTCATCAGATTCACCGCTATCAACTAAGTTACAGCAAGTGGAGTTTCAAACTCTTGAACCGTAACTTTTTTTAGTCCTTTTTGAGAGTTTGTAGAACTTGAAACCTAACACGAGCTGCTTTTGTCAAACAAGTGGGTTACGGCGAATCTGACGAAGTAACTGTAGGGAATTTGAAACTCTTGAATCGTTAGTATATGTTTTGGAAGTAAGTAGAATTTTCGCGTATCAACTTTCGATTTTTCGTAGTCGTGATGATTGTTAGAAACCAAAAAGGTCTACATCGTCGCCGCCAGCTACCTAGTGGGTTATAGCGGTTTGAGTCAATACCGGGAATTTGAAACTCTTGAACCATAAGTTTCTATTAGTCTTTTTGGGAGGATGTAGAAGTCTCACCTATAAACATTAGAGTTTTCGAGACACGTGATTCTGGAAATCTAAAATGAGCTACTCTATTAGATTTGCCTCTGTTAATCAAGTGGATTACAGCAAATGGGGTGAATACAGAAAATTTGAAATACTGGAACTATAAGTATCTTTTTGGAAGGATGTAGAATTCCCATCTGTCAACTTAAGATTGATTTATTCGTAGCACCCGATGTTGAAAGTCAGAAAAAAGCAACTTATTTAGATCCACCGCTGCCTGTAAATTAATTCAGCGAGTAGGTTAATAGGTAAAGTTTAGTCTTAAATATTTAAGTTCCATACAAAACAGAGCATATACTTTGGAAATAAAATTACGCCTTATAATTAAAACAACAGTTTATGAGGACCACCTAAAGTGGTCGTGCACTCACATTTATTATTCACTTTCCCAGTACTGTAGTGCAATTCTGTAAAACCCATAATCTCATCTCACTGTGTGTGTCGGATCCATTTTGCTTTCGCTCTCTAGGTTTCGATTCACGGAATTTTCGCATTCTGTAACCAATTGTACAAGCAAGTGAAGCGAGATGTCATTCATATCCTAAGTAATTTGTAGTGTTACCATTTTAAAAGTTTTTGGTAAATCGAGATATATCGACTTAGTTATTATGCGTGAAAAAAAGCACGTAAATTTATTTTTTAGATATATTTGTAGATATGAGGCTCAAGTCTAAAGTTTTAATGAATGTAAAGTTAAAATAGTCTTATTTTTAAAGTTTGGTAACTTGGCCGAATGAGGGCTTACTCTATGCACATCTCTGTAATCGAGTGAGAATCGACACTGGCGCTACTAAGTGAGAGTGGCGGTTTAGTAAACTATCACAGGTGAGACCATATCATACCTAAATGGCTTTGACGTTTCAATGGCATTCTGTAACGAATTTCAGCGCTTGTTTACACCTCACATTAAAAACCGCACTCGAAAGTAACTGTCAAAATAAAAGTTACTCATTAGCTGCGGTAATAGAAGTGATTGTACGAAGTGAGTATTTCTGTAGACTATTATCATCATAAAACAAGAGTAATTATTAAATTATTTATAATTACGTTGCTTTTGTTTATTTAAGTAATAATTCTTTAAAATTATGTCTATCTAGTATTTCATATGACTCACTCTATTACTTGCTTTTTACTATAGAAAGCCCATGTATGATGTAGATTTGGCCAGAAGCCGCCTACAAGCCCAATTTCTGTGTAACCTTGAGTAATTTCATGTGAAGATGAATATGTGACTAAATAAAGATTTTTTTCAACAATTGGAAAATGATTTAAAGTATTCATTTAGAAGAAACCAAGTGTAATGGAAAAGGATTATCCAATAGAATGAAGGTAAAGTACCTAATTGCATAACAAAAATAAAACCCAACCAAGAAACTTTTTATAACAATTATATAAGAATAAAAAGTTTTTTTTGTTTCAGATACTGTGTACACTTTCATTTGTGCAAATGGGAGTTACTAAGGATAATAGGGCAAAAAATTACACACATTTATCCCAACCATCAATATCAAGACTTGTAAATGAAATTGCCACCTTTTTAAGATTTTATGTCATCCAGACATAGCAAAATGCATCACAATGCCAAGTGATAAAGAATTGGTAAGTAAACTTTGATTCACTACAATTAAACAAATACTTGGGCAAATAGGTGTACAAAAGATATAATAAAGTAGACCCCCCGGTATAAATATTACATATAATTCAAGTAGAACAGTGTTTCTTAGTTTTTGCAATCCTTTACTTTAAATATTTTAGAATATTTTATGTGGGTAATAAAATTTCTATTTGTAGTTTATTTAAATTATCTAATACTTAAGTAGTTAATGCTAACTGCTATTCAGGACCACTTTTTATTTAATTAATTTTTAATGCCTTTACATTACATATGGCGGTCTTAATGCCAGCATAGCATTCTCTACCAGTCAACCGGAAGGAACGAGAGTCAATAAACGACATTTAACTTTGGTTTAGACCAATTTACCTTTAAAAAAACTACTAGGTATATTTTTTTGGAGTTATTTTAATAAACTTTACTTTTGTTACAGATTTTTGGAGAAATTTAAAATGCCTGCAGCTGTTGGTAGTATAGACTGTACCTTTATCACCATAATAAGACCAAAAGAACCTTTAGTAAAAAGCATAAGGCAACGGTGTTGTGTAAACATTAAATGTAGTTAATGTTAATTGAATAAATATATTTAGATTTAAAAAATAGTCACTCGTATTTTTAACCCTTCACCACAGTAAACTACAAAAGTAATGATTTTATTGAACTATTTCATCATCAGCCTATTCCTGCCCCCACTGTTGAGGCAGATGGAATAGGGAGACTGGCCGTGACCCACCTAGTAGTAGGACCTAGTGCGGACTGATCAGTGCTAAGGACTGCAGATGCAGCTGGGACCAATAGATTGATGTGTCATCTGAAACACGGAGAAGATCGAGATAATAAGTTTTTGGTCACCCATACAATTACCAAAAGTTGCCTAACTTTCATGATTGCAGGATGAATACTCTAAGCACCTGCGTCTCCGGGCTCCTCTTTATTTAGATTGAACGTTTTAAATGTTCTACATAAAAACTAACTATTTAAGAATTAGTTTCTGTGTAGTTCCTATATTTAATATACATACCTACTTAATTCTGAATGATATATAATATAGACCGGCGAGTTGCGTAAACCCCCATTGCAATGAAAATGAAGATAATTTAATAAAAGGGTGATTATTTATAGTAAAACTCATTAAAATAAATATGTAACATTTTTATTCATAAATTATGACAGATGCCTTTGAAACTGTACATTACATTGTTACATTTTTGTCAGAGATGCTCGTCAGCCTATTTGCCAATTTTTATGTTTTTTTGTATATAAATAAAGAGAAAATTGAATATTAATCGATGCTTTTCTGAACAAGTATCTGAGTGGTGTTATATAAAGCAGAAGTAGTGGATCACTAAATAGCTGTGATTATTACTTCCATCTGTCAAAAGCAGTTGGCGAATAGGCCTACTGTGGCCTGTCTGGTGTGGTCTGCAGGTTGTAGATGTAGCTGACGCAGTGACCACTTCTCATGAATATAATGTAAGCAGTCTAGCACCGCAACAATAGGCCGTGTGTCATTAGACAAATTTTAACAGAGATCTTTGTTGAGATGGAGGCGAAGCCTGCCAAGGACTTGTTGTGCGTGTTGCTGAAATAAAAAAAAAAAAGTTGTTGAATAACAACAATAAATGTCACAATTATGATTGGGCCTGGGTCAGAATAAACTTATTAATGATACTCTTTTTTTCTTTTAACACAAACTTTATGATTTTTATAAAAGTAAAGTATTGAGATAAGAAAATAATCAATATTATTACATTCTATTAATACGTACTTGGAGCACTATATTCGAAAATATTCACAACTACAAAATAACAATATGTACGAATCAAATTTTCTCTTATTCTCTTTTTACAATGACACTTATAAATAAATCCGAAAATATATAAAAAGAACATAAATCAAAAAAGAATTAAAAGAACTTATTTTCTAATGTGCCAGTGCCTGCGAGCGAAATGTCCATAGACACTGGCTGTATTGCGACATGGACCAACGTTTGTGCGGTGGAAATAAAATAATCAAATTTTATGCCAGTCAATTTAATGGTGGCTTTTCAAACAAGTGGTTAACATAGTCTTACAAAAATAAAAACTACTGTAATTTACGTATACTTACAACATTTCGAAGAAATTAGTGCCCTTTTCCTTCTTGTAAGATTAATGGGCGGTCTTGAGATCTATAACGTTTTCTACTCTACATGGTAAAATTATTTTAAAAAAGTATTTTAGATAATACACGAACAATTTTTAACCTAGAATAAACCAAGATTATTTTGTTAAAATTCAATCGTCGGACTTGTTTCACAGAACAAAAACCCTGTCAGTACATGTTTTGCATCCGTTATTCATGCCAGACTCGATTTCATTGATTAGATACCTGTCGAAAAAACGACATTAAGTACTATAAGTAGTTTTCGGAACTCTTTAACGGTCCGCGAGTGACTGTCATCCAAGAAATGAATATATGGCGTGACTTATTCGTACACAAAAATATAAATATGTGTGCAGGATTTGGCGGTGTATTGTTTATTTTTTTATGCGTGTGTCATAAGTACAGTTTTTTTTTTTCGAATGTATATTGGACTGCCTTTGTGTGCATACTCCTCCCCCGCAAAAAGTAGCAGAATGATTTTAATAGTATTATGGATTATATCCCTACTTCTTTCCGTGTTGCTCTATGAACTATGTCGATGTATCACGACCATAGACACATGCTATACCTATGATCTCGACTTACCGAAATTTCTTAAAATGGTAACACTACAACTCACTTGCGATAAGAATGACATCTCGCTTCACATGGTGGTAATATTTTTTACAGAATGCGAAATTTCCGTAAAGCGATCCGTTGTGCGATGTGAATGCATATCCGCCGCATTCAGTGAGAGCCATAGATACAAAACTGTGTCATAGATGAATGATCGGTCTCACTTCAAGCGATATCTATGATTATAACTATGTCTATGATTGCAGCAATTGCTGATTCTGTTTTTCATAAAATGGATTAATTTAATTATTCATTGGTGTCGATTCTGGCATGATTCTCTAAACTTAAACTAAATTTCATCAGAGTATCCTTTTCATTTTGTATAGATAATGACAAGGATACACTATTGTCAAATTAAGGTTTAGGTTTAAAGAATCATCCAAGAATCGATTCTAGTATCTATCTATTAAACTTTTAACAGAATGGTACTCCGCGCACTTGGGCATCGTTCGAAACCTACGGCTATGAGTGGAACTTTTTACCAACGTTTAATGTTGACATAAAATCAACGATATTAAATACCCTAGATACAACATCACGAACAAAATCGTGGCTGAAACCTGTCCAAAAGGTAAATTGGACGATACGCGGAGCTCCGTAAGATGATCGCGTAGTCAAAAACAATGTAAGGCATTATTTAAACATTCAAAGTTACATTTAATGCAAAGGTCTTTATTAAAACGCATGCGTCAATGAGTTATGATAGTTCAAAATGCAAGCTCGTAAAATTTTACCACTTATTGCTATACGCGTAAGAATAAAGACCTTATTTCTTTGACTCTACGCACTGAAGATGCGCTATTAGCAACATAGCAGGTACGGACCGCGAGGAAAAGAGACAACTATATTACCGATCATGTATTTGAATATCACGTTTTTGAAGTTATACTTCTTTAGGCGCGTTATGAAAAAATGATGAGAGTGAAATTTTAAGATGCGCGCGCATCACTGTAACACAAAATTTTAACAGCATGAAGTTGGTCACTTGAGCGACCAACTTCATGCGTTACTTTTGTGTTTACCGCAAATTAAGAAAATCTACCATCAAAATAGAAATAGAATCTCTATTTAGTGGGTGCTAACGACTGCATTGTGAAGGCCTATCAAAAGTATTTATTAATCTGGAACAACGGAAACAAAGTGCGATTCAGGAGACTACAGCGCCATCTCTTGACCATTGGTGTAGTAGAACCAAAAACCACATCTTTATTTTTTGTAATAAAGTAACAGTTATAGGTATTCATATTTATAATATTTATCCACATGTTTCTAGTTTGTATATTCGGAATACGTGTTTGAGTTTCATACAAGTGCAAATCACATATGTTCTAATAAATTATATTCAGTAGCGATTTTAATTGAATATTTTGATTATTTATTTATTTTTTCAAATTAAAACTGAACTTTATTGACTGTGTCCTTTTCCAGACTTTTTATTAATTTATTGTAATTAATTATTTGCATGCAATTAAAAACTAATTTTAAACGATGCCAAAGAAGGATAACTTCTCACGCGCCTACATAAGTACACGCACCCATTTTTTTCTATTAAATCAATTTATAGTAAGTATTAGAACATAATTATTTGCTTCAAATGCGTTAAATTTACAAACATTTATTAGATACCTATAAAAAAAGGACACTTTACGTACTATAAGTATTTATTATGCATTTTTTCACGGAGCTTTGCGGCATCTTGATTTTCAACAGTCCGCGCGTAACTATGAGTCAAGTAGTGCTAGAGTCGTGTTCAAGCACTTCTTGATTGGGACACATTTTGAGCGCACGTGTTGCATCTAGGGTATTTAATATCGTTGCATAAAAAAGTATGAAACTGATGTCAATTTTGACAATTGTTTCACCTAGAGCGTAGTTTGGAACGCACCCTGGTAAACGAATGCAAATACCCACTAAGGTTTTTGCGCGATTTTATCAAAAGCGGTATTTTTCCATATAGAAATCTCATCTAATATTCCCAAAAGTTCAATGTGGAAATTATATTTGTTAAGAAAATCCACTTCCAAACGTATTGCGGTCATTGTTTAGTTTGTTTTTGGCTCATTTGAAAAACTGTAGAAGAGAGGCGAGATGAAGTAAGTTAAATAAAATGTGGTTTTGATTACTGAAGTTTTAATTTATATTAAAATCATTTCTGTTTTTTGCAGTGGTGTCACAATCGTCGCATCCCTCTGTAGAGCAGCTTAATGTTTTGATCGAGTTCCTAGCAGCTAATAGAGATTTAGCTAAAGATTTCTCTAAGAACCTCAGTGCCAAATAAACCTATCATTGCTAGCTCCAACAAATGAGGCATCGACATGCAAAACATTGAGATCGGCATGAACAATCTGTAACAAAATATTTACAAAATTGAATTCCAGTCTTTTAATTTATCTTTACATAAATTTATATATTTATATGTTCATGAATCATGACAAGTTTTAAGAAAGTAACAAATAGATGAAAATCAGTTAAAGGTGTAGGTACTTACTACTTGAACATTTCTTGCATGCTTACCTTTACGACAATAATACCGTTCTTCATTTTCTTTGGGTCGTATCATGGTGACAAAGATACCATCTATGCAACCAACAACTCCACGTATTTGAAATTTCTCAAAAAAACTGTAACAAAGGTAAAGAATAGCTCATTTAATATTTGCTTTACTAAAGAAACTGCCAATAAAAGTATTTTTTTATGATTTCATTACCTAAAATACTTTAAGACACGGGCTCATAGATTTTTTAGAATTCTAATCAGAGTTTACTTACTGTTCCTTTAACACTTGGTGTTGAGATGCATTTCGCAGAAATGTTATATATTTTTACGATGTCTGGATGACTTAAAATTGAGGCAATTTCATTTATACTTCTTGACATTAATATTAAGCACAAGGCAATAGAGTGAGATCTGAAAAAATAGGTGGACATGAGTTTTTGAATTATTAAATAAACAATGAGACCTACATTAAAAATACTTACTTTAAAAGATCTTCTATAAACAAAACTCGTAATTTATTAGCAAAGTTTGTTTGATTGATTACCATAGCTACACACTAAGTCACTTTGACATAACAATTCGAGTGCGGATCCGAAAGTGAGTGTAAAATTCGTTACAGAATGCCATTAAACTTCAAATCCTTGAGCATATTGTCAAGCTATATCCTGCGTTAGTTCATTTCACCGCCACTCTCGCCTAGTAGCGCTAGCGTTCATTCTCACTTGACTACAGAATGCCAATGATAAAATCCGAAACGGATCCGCGTTCGAAAGTGAAATGTGTCTTTACAGAATGCCACTCCTGACCACGGATCTTAATTTAAGGATAGAAATAAAGGAGATAGGGTCATTCTCAATGAATCACAGCAATCGGAGGGTGTTAACGATAGCCATCTTAAGAGAACAGCCGGAACAATAACGCTTAATGTGCATTCCTAACCCCGATTGAGACCAAAGGAGCTCCAATTACTTACTGATAGCAAGTCATGGTATTACCGCTATATATTAGATTAGTCCTTGGCCTTGCACCAAATTTTTTACTTCAAATTAGGGCTTAATCCAATTTAGCACATCATTCTATTTTTGTCAATTGTTTGAAGTCAAATAAAGATAGATGCTTTTAAATTTGATTTAAGAACTTAGGGCAAGTGGACCTTAAACAGTACTTTATATAAGTGTGTTTGATATAAAACTCTTTTTATAGGTCAGCACCAGGTATACCAATATGGAAAATAAGCCTAGATGTTTTATCAGGTGAAATTGTAAATGTAACAGATACAAATCAGGCATTATCGTGGAAAATGTCAGATAGCGAGGACGCTCCTGTAGATTATTATAAGCTTAGGTATTGTCCGGTAAGTAAAACATATATGATTGATATATTATCATAATATGTTGATGTTAGTGTTGTTTATATTTGTGATAAGCACTTTATTAACTAGATTTCAAACCCACCATAAAATATATTTAATAAGTTATTCCTGTGATGTTCTAATAAGTAGTTAACCACATTCATACCTATAAACTAAACTGATGTTATAAAACTTTGCGACTATTACGACCATTTTGACTTTTATTCTAAAAATTATCAAATTGATGGTACTATTTGTAAATCGTTCCCACAAATATGAATGCTCTACTAAGAAAGTTAGCCAATTACACTTAATTCTTCCTAATGTTTAATGTAAGACTAATGATTAAGTAATAGAAGAGCATAGAATAATAATTTAAGGAAGAGTAAGGTACCAAGGACGTTATATATCTAACGGTTACTAGGTATATAACCTTGACAGTTACAAGCAGCCAAATGAATAAAGACAGCAAAATGTCAAAGGTAACAGGTGAAAATGGAACCAAACGCTAATTGCTTTAATTGGATTTAAAAATAACTCAACTCAAAAGGCAGGCATAATTTATGAACTGCTGACCTAATTCCTCAATTAGGAAAAAGTACTTCACAAAGCAAAAATTTCTTGTTCAATTTGAACCTCTTATATATTTGATTTATTCTGGAATATTGTCAAGTTGAGGCAATTTGATAATTTGTCTAACTTTTATTCTATTAACATAATATATAAAATACGTATTAGGATATAATGTCCGTGAAGAGTTGGCTGTTTGGTTTAACCCAAAGGTTTAACAAACAATAAGCAAAATTTGTAACTGGGCTAATTGGCGCTTAGGAACGATGTAAATATTGACAACGCTTATGATTATGTTCGTTTAAGCTTCAATTATGCAAATAGTAGAGTTGAATAATGAGAAAGTTCCACCAGAAAGATAAATTTGAAGAAAATTTTTAATTTTTTGGGAAAGTAATTTCATTTATTTTTGGTAAATTGCCTATTTAAAATGAAGTATAAATTTTTATTACAGTCATTATATTCTTTTACAAAAAATAATAATGTAAAAAAGAAGCACTTTATGGCTTTATGTCGTAAAGTGCATACATTTTAATACTTGAAAGTGCTTCTATTTTACAGAAAAGTTTTTACTAAAATTAATCAACTCGGCTAAGTTCTTCGAATTTTGGTATTGGTATTATCAATAGCATAGCGGTAAGTGCATGGGCACGGACAGCGATGGAAGCTGGTTTGACCTCAGACTGATGCTTTGAAATACATTTCTTTCTAGAAAATTGATAGAGGTTTGCTTTCAAAGACAATACGATTGTTTTTGGACATAAACTTTAGTAAATGAATTCATAAAAATACAATAATTGTGAAAATAAACATTTCGATTGTTTTCAGATTAATGAAGAAAATCCCTGCAAAGAGCAAAAAGTCGAACCAAATGCAGAACTAAAAACTGATTTCAGTATTCTAGATCATAATACAACGTATTTTATAGAATTAGTAGCGCACAATAATGTCGGTGATTCTACGCCAGCAAATATCACCATTACAACACCAGGTGAGCAATGTAAGCTTTGTATAAAGAGCACATATTTAAATGATCCTTAAAAACTAATTGATCATCAACACAGTACAATTGGCAACCTTACCTAAACTTAAGATCACCAATTGTATTTTTAGGTCATCATTTATTAGATTATAAAGGATCATTTAAAAAGTTTTCCATAGAATGTAACATACTTACAATAGCTTCCTTTAGTATAGTTATAGCTAATAACCATGACATATTTTCTTTTCTGTCATCTGTATTTTTTAAGAAAGTAATTATTAATAATTCTGACTTTTTATTTAAATTCATAGCACAAGTAGCAGGCCCTGTGCATCGACTATCAGCGGGTGCCTTAATAGGCATATCAATAGTTGTAGTATTCATATGCTTGGTAGTAGTAGATGTACTATTACTGTTGTGGAAGCGACAGGGAATGATAGCAAACTGCTGTTGCAGAAAGAAGAAGAGAATTAAAAAGCTAGAAGACAAATTACAAACACGGTAAGTCAAGACATATTATGTAATTTGCTAAAGCTAGGTAACTATATATAAATTATAGCATTTTAAATACATTATAAGGTATCTTTACTTTCCACGATAAATAAACTCTTATACAATAAGTTTGAATACTGAAGCCCTTAATAAAAACCCCTTAATAGATAAGTCAAAAAAGCTATGAGTATAATTAAAGTACGCAAATATATACATACACAAGAGTCAAAGATCACTAAATTTGTGGTTTCAGCCTTCAAATAGAGAAGTAATAATACTAAAAGCAGAAGTCCATATGTAAGTATGTAAGAAACACAATGATGAAAATCATTTGACTTTCTAAGTTATGTATGTGTGGGTGATTTGATTGTACAGATAATAATTTTAAGATGGTTTTTTAATAAACAAATGACATGTCAAAAATTAACCTCAAGTGTAATGATAAAACAATTATAGATGCGTAATGGCCATTATATTAACGGAACTTCGATAGAAGCCAAAAACAATATTTGCGAGCAATAAGAGCATTTGTTGATAGCTACGAATAGCAATAAAGTATCTTGCAGGCCACATTTCGAGATCTTCTTGGAACGATCTGTGAATCCCAAGTTTCTCTTGGATTTGTTTCAATTAAAAATCCTTTTATTCATAGAAAGTGAGTTTTCTAATATAGAATCAGCAAAAGTGCATTAATATGCACCAAAGGTGTAATCACCTCTAGTATTTACGTATTTAATACAACCTCTATGAATTGATGTATCTATGTATTAAACGAGCAGCATGTTAGCACAGTCTATATAAATGTTAGTTTGTCACTCTTGGTGGTAATATGTTCTCTAATATCACTATTAAAAAAAATACTTTGCAATGTTATGAATAATTATGTTTGTTTCGTTTCCATTTTAAAACTAAAGAAAACAGAATGTCAAATCTATTTTCAATTAGACAGCCAAAATTTTTATTTTATTTAATTATAAAGACATAACGTATGAACAAAAAGTCTTGAAAAACATTTTTCTTTGCGGAACACAAAATCCAAGTAAATGATTATTAAATGTTTTTCCTAACTTGTCTTTTATTATAGCAAAGAATATTTACAGCTTCTTATAAATGTACCTACCCATATATAGAAAAACTTGAACCTCCAAATCTGCCTTTTGAGGATTACTTCAAAAGACATAAAGGAGCGCATAATTCCTCCTAAGATTTCATTGAGAACGAAGAAAATATAAGATTTGTAAATAAATTCCCATTGATTTGCAGCGACAAAAAAGGCCTTTTGAAAGACAGCCGCGACGCCGCTGAAAGGAGCCCTAACAATAGGCCCAAAGAGTATGAATACAATAAGACGACGGGCGTAATCACAGGGAAACATTCGGCCGTTTAAATCATGGTGAATGCTGAAATTTCAGGATACAATTCTGTGTAGGATGTGGGATCCTTATAAATATAAAAGTAGTTATGGTAACTTTTATAGATTTTCAGGAGATTCGCATATAGACGCCGCGATGATATAAAAAACTAAAGAATATTCATATTTCCAAAATATTATTATGTACTTTTGTATTATATACCTTACTTATTATATAAGCTGCTATTAGTTAGGTAAAATAAGTCATTTTTTTCCTGACCGACTGACTTGTCAATTTATTTAAAACGTTGCTCGCACACGTCTGTCTGATTTTAGTAATGCAGTTTGAGTTTCATTAATATGAACGAATGCGGACGACACGCATCGATCCTATCAAAACCAAATAGGATACCACTAAATTGTTTAACGAACCTGATCTAATGAAATTAAGTTGTCTGCGAGCATCGTTACTGTAGATCGATTTATTTATCTTAGGTTGCTTATTTCCTTAGTTTCTACAAATACACCGTGAATTTTGAGTTACCAGAGAAATATAAATATCATCTTAAATAAAAATATTGAGAACAGTTTTAAACAATAAACGTACTAAACCCCCATACAAAAATATTTGAAAATATCCTGAAACGGCGTAAATTGAAATTATTATCCGTGTAATTTACGTAGATCTTTAAAGTTTTTGAAACAATTTATGACAATTAAAATTGTTAAGTTTTCATAATCACACAATTATTGAATGAACGTAGACTTAGATGTGAACTTTTCTAAAAAAAAATCGTTAAAATATTTTTTCCATTTTTTCCATAGAATTATCTGGTAAAATTTCGCAGATAACTCAAATTCTCGGTATATTAATCTCTCTATTTGTAGACATTGTCAGTTGGCGTCCTTTATAGTGTAGTTTTTTTTTATATAACGTTCTTCCAAATAATTTTCTAAACATTCATAATTATTGAGTCAATTAAATTATTGTATTTAAAACTTGGTTTTACTAGCTTTCAATTTACTACTTTTACTGCAGTCAATTGTAAATAGCTTATTTATAAAACTTTTTTTATACTACAAAATCGTGTAAGGTTAGCCATCGATAATAGGGTATTTGACAGTATTAAAAATAAAGTGCAAATTGTTAGAATCTGTATTTATAATGAATATTGGCAGGGATTTTCACTATTTTTGCAGAAAAAATAATCATGATTTTACTAAAAACCCACGAAAAAGATAATAGTTTTCTTATCTATTGTCACGTGACCCAAAACGCTTGGGATTGGCGGAGCCTAAAATGACGTCACACGCAAGTAAACTTCCGGTTAAGTGACATTAAATTGTATCGTTTGACGTTATAATAACAGTCGTGTGACGTCAAACACCAGTGAAACGCCATAATTGTCCAGAGAAACGTTTTTGAGGCAACTTGAAAATGGAGTTTTTGATTTGGTTATTTTAACTCAATTACACAACAGAATGATGAATATCCCCTTTTTATGGACTCCATAAACATTAGTAAATAACGTGAGATCGTTTTCTCAACCTTGTCAAATACCCTATTTTCAAGTGGCCTTTGTAAATTTCGATAATGTTTATTCTATTATAGTTATAGTACTATATCTTTATTAGGTGGAATATTTCTTGGTCGTGCTAAACAAAAGAAAAATCGCGTCGTGAGCTTTTAGCCTAAGTTTGTTACAAATTTTATGTTATTATTGTGTAGTTATAAATCTTATAATACTCCATAAGATATTAGATGTATTTTTGTATTCTTGTTTGCTTTGCAATTCTGTATAGAGATTCAGTACTCTTAAAAAACTTTTGATATAAGGTTGTAGCACACACTGAATGCAATGTGCGTGTAATATATTTTTAGCAGATTTTCAATTAAATTTAAAAAAATCACGACGTTTTATAAACCACTTTTAATGTTGTAAACAAAGTAAGGGGAATACCAATTATATTTATTTCCTTAATAATTAATATTTATGTTAATGTATACATTAAAATTATATATATTTAATGTCAAATTCCTGTGCAAATCTTATTATGTAGGTATTCTTTTATAAACATGTTGCATTTTATTTGATGAGTATTGTGAAGTTTACGGGTAACATATTTTTTTTTCTTATAAAATATTACTGTTAAGCTGTTGTGACATCTGGATACGATAGCTGATCATTACTTTTTGTGTATTGTTGGACGTACAGAAAAATGAAATATGTCTCATTATATTTTATTTCAGGACTATTTATCTCTTTTCAGGTTCTGCTACTGACATGGTGTATCAATTTGCCATTGTATTTTATTATGTAGGTTTTCTTATAGGGTCAAGCTTAATTATTGTCTGCTTCAACAAATTTTCTATAAAAAATTATATAAAAAGTTTGTGTCACAAATCTATGTTTCGCAGACCGCAATATTAAATTTTTAATCTTCTTTCTGTACGTCACACACGACGTCTATTCTTATATTGAATTAGTCAAGGAATTTAATTATATAGTCATAATGGTTTTTATAAATTAGGTTTATTGCTTTAGGTATATTGTTTTCACATCGAGTTCTGTACTCTTAACACGGACATATATAGTTATTCTTAACTAGCAAACCAGTGAACTAAATGTTCACCAAAAAATAAAATAAAATAAAATTAATTAATTGAAAACTTCGGAGATTTTGTGTGGTTTCGTTTGAAATAGAAATCAAGTGATTTCTCGAAAACCGGAAGTGCTACGTTACTCACATCCGGTTTGTAGTCTTATCAGACTATTCTCAACTTATAACTTAAACATTCTCTTTATCTATCTCTTATGGTTTGGCCGCTGAAACAGCACCACGGACGGACGGACTTGTCTAATAGATAAGAGATTAATTTGATCTTGACATGCAAGAAATGTCAACAAGTTTTTTTTATGTAAATATGTAATTTTTGCGGCGCAACAACGAAATAAGCAAGAGTTAAAAATCTTTTATAAAAAAGTTGACATTTGACGCGCATCGAGATTTAATTCAACTATTCGTATTTGATATTAGCTCGTGCTAAGGGTGGTATTAGTAACCTGTAGTTTAAAATGTTGAAACCATTCGAAAGCGAACATTTTTGAAGTAGGTTTTTATAAAATCATAACAATATTCTTTTTGAAATTTTGGAAGTGTGGCACCTACCGCGTGTTAGACTGTATAGACCTAAATCATTCCTCAAAATAAACTTATTTTTATTTTGTATAATTGTTTTGAAATTTCCGAACCTATTTGTAATGTTGTCGTCCTCTTTTAATTATTGCTGCTATCTCAAGTGTGCTTGTTATACTGTTATTTGTTAAGGAAATTATATTAAGACGTAATTGTATAACTTAATTATGAAAATTTAATTTAGTACTGTATCTGTGTATAAATATTATAAAATTATTATTAAATATTTAAGATTATTTTTGTATAAATTCTTATATTAATTTCTAAAATGGATATAAATCAAAAAAATCCTTAGATTTGTCACTTTATACTTACACTCCAAAAAATATATATTAAAATTAAGCATTTTTCCTTTTTCTGTCCAATGAAAAGACAGAAGATTATAAATTTGGGTCGTTGTTCATTCGTCCCAAAATAAATATATCTAAACTCGCCACTGCTCTTTTTTTAAAGGTAATTGAGTTTTATGTGACGAATTAAGTAACAAAATATTTTCTATATTATTAATTGTATTTTTTTATTTAAAAAAGAACAGTCTTTATCGTTTAGTTTAACGATAAAAAAAAAGAAAATTTTCAAAAGAAGAACATATTCAAAATACACGGATCTGACAATAGGTATCAATGCACACTGAAATGACAATGCCAGATTCTGACCTACCATTTACAGTAATATTATATTTATCAAAGAATATAAACGACTGTTTTCTACGGATACGAATTTTTTTAATTTCTATTTTTATTAATTAATTAATTTAAAAGTCGTTTATATTTTAACAATAAAATATCAATCCAGTTGTCGAAAAATATAGTTCTCTTTTTTAACATTATGGATCTAATAGGCATTTCGGTTATAAATATAATTAATAGCAATAGCAATTCCAATTTTCTGCCAATTGCAGCACGAGAAACGTATGATAATTGTACTCTTTGTTAGTATATTATTAAAAAACCGCAACTTCTAGAGTATTTACAACTTTACTATTTGGTTTCCTAATATTACAGCTATCAAATGTCATTTTTCGCATTCGTGTAAACCAATTTTATCGGGTGGGTCAAACCTCTATAGAACTTCTGGCATTGTCCTTTACAAATACATTTATGTTGTGAATTTGAGTGCCCGATCAGTTTCTACCGGCATTCTACAATGTGTTCTACTACGGATGTGTTATGTACTAAGGGTTTGTACTAATATAAACTCTCATATATTGCCTGTTTACTAAACTACTGTTCAAGAGAATTGTTGTTTATATAAAATTGTGACTCAAAATATCCTTTCATAAAAATCGTTTTTTTAGAAAAGTATTTATTAGTTTAAACATAAATCTAAATGTTGTTAGTACCGTGTCCTTTATCTTTTTTGTTATATTATATACGCGTTTTGTACCAAAGATTCACTTTCATGTACCGCTTCAATGCTATGAATTAAACAAATCTCGATGTATTTTGGGTTGTTTGATTTAATATTCGTGGTAAGTATCCTTCATAGACTTGTAGTTTGTTAGAAAATAAACTTGCCTCCTCCCTCCTCAAACCTCGTTAAATCGTAGACTGTTATATTTTCTAACTCTTCTCATGTAAAAGAGGCGACAGGAAAACCGTTTGCTGGCTAGCAATGAGAACGGCATTCGTTTATGCTGCATCAGTCATCTATGTGTCTGGACTTCACCTACGCTTGCAATTTAATTACAATTGAAAAACGCCCGCGGGTCTACTTTGCATCCGGCTTAATGTAATTATGTGAACAAAGAAATTGAATGACACATTTCTTTGTCGTACTATTTGCACATGGAATTCTTTGTCCGGGCACGTGTGCGTAAATAAGCATTTGTGCAGGTTGACAAGGTGAGAATGGCTGGTGTGGCAGGTGGAACTACTGTAGCAGCTAGTATTGCATCTAGTTTCTACCGCCACATAATATCAGGTGGAATCATTTGCCTATCTGAATGTAAACAAAACCACCACTT